TTATACATACATATACAGTATATGTACAGTATCAAGGTGCCGTCTAATGTGCACACCTCCATGCATGCTTCTGCCCCCGCTCCGCACAGCCTTCCTCCTCCTCTACACACCCACAGTGTTTGTTCTCAGCTCCTTTAGTTCCAGTTGTGATGGAACTCTGCACAAGGGGACAGTCGCGCAAGTGTGTGAAGTTCCATGGTTGAGGGGCAGAGTCCTGGAGAGCAGGGCTGAAAATGAGAGGAAATATTGATATGTATGTGTTAGTTGGATTATGACTGTATTTCGTGATCATTATTTCCCAGTGAAATCAATGAAATTTAAATCTTGTTTGGGATCCAAGCCAGATATTTGTTTGTTTTAACATCCATCTGGCTGAAGGCCGCATATACAGTATACATATGTATATACATGTGTATTTCTTAAAAATCACATGCATCTATTGATTATTTTGCCTATTTATTGGTTCTAGATCATTTGCTTCTCCCCCAAATTGGACTAAAGGTGGAACACAATAAATGATTAGCAAGGATGACGATATCTTTCTGAATTCAGGAATATTTATCACAGTAGATGGGGACACAGGAGGCATTTTTGCAACAGCAATACGTATATTGTTGTAAGCTATCCCTGTTATTATCCAAGATACATGGGACATGTATTTATCATGAATTAAGAGCTATTAGCTTTAAAAATAAACTGGTTTGGATGTTGATAGAAATTGCTAGAATTGATTTATCGATATGGATGAATCAATACAGCTGCCTGAATTTTTGGGCACTCCATTGGCTATGGGACAGTCACAATGAGCGCCAGCACCTGACAATCTAACACATATGACTCCCCAAATCAGATCTATATATGCCCTTAGCTCATACCTAACAATTACCTCTTTTAGTAATGATAATGTGCATGAAGAAGCAGAGGTGGAACACCAACCAAACAGCAAAGCACAGCTCAGATATGTTCAAAAGGATGGCAGCTTCCTAGGCTGCAAACCAGGGCACTGTTGTGTACAAATAAGCTTGATGTATGAATAATTCTTCAGCATTTTTTTCTCAAACCAATCTTGGGCTTTTGGGCCTGACTTAAACATCTCATGACCATAAATACTTTTTTCACTTCTTAGTGGTAATAGAATGGAATGGAAGAATCTTTCTCGGGTTAAATCGATGGCTGATTCATAATCGAGAATTTATTCAAAATTAGTGCAGAGTCCTTGATTTGCTACATGCAAATTAAATTATATAGGATGCCAAATATAGACCCAGCAAAGTTGTGGGGACTTTTTTTTCATTACAAAACGAGCAGGCCATAATCATTAATTATTACTGGCTTTTCACTGCAGTTCAACTGATGCTCCTAAATGATAAATAGATTTACAGTTATTAATCTTTGGCTGCTTTGCAATGGAATTTACAGTGGCGATAAAACTTACCCGAGTTTAACCCTCTGTGACCTGCTCACTAGATAAAATGGTGCCTCACATATGGAGAAACAGAGCACAGTTTCGCATATTCTGTAGAGGCACTATGCAGTATAGTGACTTCAGTGGGACCTGGAACACCTTAGACTATATGGCAAATAGATTACTTTGAAGCTGGCAACATATGAGAGAAATTTGTGTACCCCCCCAAAAAAAACCTCATTAATAACCCTGATCAGAACGGGGGCAGTATGCACTAGGGAGAATTTATATGAGATGTCTAATTAGCAGTGTGATTGCATTACTGTAGATCTAATGACATGTAAGGAAAGAGAGAGACTACTTTTATTTTAAGTTATATAAACAAGAGATTTGTAGTGTTAACAGGTGGTGCAGGTAGCATTTTTTCAAAATGGAGCTCCTTTAAGAGGTGAAATATATCTATTTATCCTAGCATGGATGTGCCTATTTTGCAGGCTGCACTGCAGGTAGCATTTTTTCAAAATGGAGCTCATTTAAGAGGTGAAATACATCTATTTATCCTAGCAAGGATGTGCCTATTTTGCAAGCTGCACGTTAGCTTGCTTTTGTTTTGTGATTGGTCATTGGGAAGTAAACAAGGGCTTCATTTGAAATTCTGATTATGTTTTGAAGAAACTGTGCTTGGAGAGTAAATGTCTTAATAGTGGAAAATATGCAGTTCTCTGGACATTGTGGTTAGGTCATGTAGTTGAAGGTCTTATTTCTTGGCTTAACCCATTTCATAGAATCATAGAATTGTTGTAGGGTTGTAAGGGACTTTCAAGGTCTTCTGGTCCAACCTCCTGCCGAAGGCAGGAGACCTCATACCATTCCGGACAGATGGCTGTCCAATCTTTTCCTGAAAACCTCAAGCAATGGGGCACTTACAACATCGGGAGGCAAGCTGTCCCACTGCTTAATGGTTATCACTGCCAGGAAATACCTCCTTATTTCCATGTTGGATCTCCCTCTCATAAGTTTCCACCCATTGTTTCTTGTCCTACCCTCAGGCACAATGGAGAATAAATCAATGCCCTCTTCCCTGTGGCAACCCTTCAGATATTGGAAGATTGCTATCATGTCTCCCCTCAGTCTTCTCTTCATTAAGCTAAACACACCTAGTTCTTTTAGTTGTTCTTCATAGGATTTAGCCTCCAGTCCCCCTATCATCTTTGTTGCTCTTCTGTGCACTCCTTCCAGGGCATCAGAGTCTTTTTTGTATTGTGGTGACCAGAACTGAACACAGCACTCCAAGTGTGGCATCACCAACGCAGTATAGACTGGTACTATCTATTCTCATGATCTTGATGCTATCTTTCTGTTGATGCATCCTAGGACTGTTGGCTTTCTTGGCAGCTGCAGCACACTGCTGACTCATCCTTAGGCGGTGGTCTACCAGGTCACCTAAATCCCTCTCACAGGTACTACTGTGAGGCCAGGTACAACCTATCCTATACCTGTGCATTTGGTTTCTCCTGCCTAAGTGCAGGATCCTACTTTTCCCACCACTGAACTGCATCTTATTGGATAGGGCTCCAATGTTCAAGTCTGTCTAGATCCTTCTGAATGTTGAGTCTGTCTTTCAAAGCATTAGCAATTCCCCCCATCTTTGTGTCATCAGCAAATTTGATGAGTGCTCCTTCAATCCCCTCATCCAGGTCATTTACAAAGACGTTGAAGAGCACTGGGCCCAAGACAGAACCTTGAGGGACCCCATGGCACACTGCCCTCCACGTAGATGTGGTTCCATTGAGGACCACATGTTGAGTGTGGTTGGTCAGCCAGCTGCAAATCCATCTGGTAGTTGCGCTGTCTGTCCCACTTTGTTCTATCTTACGCAGAAGTAGGTTGTGGTCTATCTTATCAAATGCCTTACTGAAGTCTATTAACCATAATTTAATTCTTAATTAGCTATTTACATGTAATATGTAAATCCAGTTATAGAATTAAATATAAATTAAGTGCAATTGATCATTTAATGATATTGGTTGAATTATAGTATAGTAATAAGCCCATAACTATGTACATTAGTAAGTGCACCACAAAATGACAAAATAAGGATGGCTTATTTATTTATTATTTATTACTGTACTTTTATTTATATATCGCCCCATTACTGCACAACACTATTCTAGACAGTGTACAACATATGATGAATTTATCAAATACGTTTTCGAGTCTGGGACCACCTAAAAGGATCATTTGGGAATTAGGTGTTCCTGGAGTTGTGTTTTGTTTTTTTAATCTCATAAAGTAATCTTTGAGCACAAATAGAGCTACATATGGGGTGGGGAGAGGGAGAAGCATTGCTGATGGGAATGGAATCAGCAGCCAAAGACAGCAGGGCCAGAGTCTGGAGCAGGGCTATCAAGATACAACAGAAGATAGGCTGCAATGGGACATTTTTGAAAAAGCTGATGATGTGATTTAGAACGTTACCTTTCTTTGGGCAATCAACAAGCTGAACTGTAGCCAATGAACTGAGCCAGCCATATCTTTAGGCAGGCTGAAGTAGCACGCAGTGGGATCAGTACAGTACATCAACACACACACACACACACACATGCACACACGCGCACACACACACACACACACACACACACACACACACACCCCTTGCTGCCATACCCCACCTGCCAGGTGACCCTCACCATCTCTCTACGTCCCTCTTTTCCTTTGCTTGCTGTGTGGTTCCTCATCTTTGTACCTCTTTCAGAATCTTAATTCTGCTGTTTTTAAAGCTTAAAAATTATCTGTGCAACTTGGTCACCGATTCCCTGTACTGTATTCTGTTATCACTTGACCTACATCCTATGCATGACCAGTGGAGACACGCAAGGAAGAGGAGGTTCTTTGGCCCATGATGCAAAGTCTCGGTGCAGGAAGGAATCCACCGAACACACAATTCACCCATTTTGCGTTTGTGTGCCTGGCTCTGAAAGGTCTGTTTTAGGCAAATGCAACCGAATGGGAGTTGTTTATAGTGAAGTCAGAGCCTGTAAAACCATGATTTTATAGGGAAGTAAAATGAAAGTCTCACATTGTTCCCCTGTATGACAGTTTGTGAATTACAGCTTTCCTGACCTTCACAAAAAGAGAAAGGCAGCAGGGTGTGGGAGAGAAGAGAAAAAGAGAGAGAGAAAATGGAATAAGCATGCTAAAACAGTTGGAAGGTAGAAGTAGCAGGAAAGAGGTGTCTACATTGCAAATTCATGTATCTTATTCTTTCCACCTTTAACTGAAAATAAGGTTGTCCTAACCACTGAGTATTTGGGATGGCAAGTTTCCGGAAACACTGAGGGCTACTCTTTTGCTGCGCCCCTTTTGCACCTGTCCTGGAAGTGAAATTGGCAATGTGTCGTGGACTAGCCTGATAATAAACAGTCAACAAAATGGGAATAGAGGGAGAGAAAGGCAACAGGGAAAGAAAAAAGAAGCAGCTGAGCCAAGCAGTATGCACTAGTGGGTGAGACGATTAAAGATTAACCCCCCTTGCCTCCTGCCTCCACCCATCTGGGTAGTATAGGCCTTGAAGCTCAGCAGATCCTTTCAGAGAAATATTTGAAATAAAGGCCAACAGATAGGGGACGCCTGGCAAAATCAGTGGGAGAACGGGAAGGGCCAATAACCTCTGGCCGCAGAATCACTGCAATCTGGCCTCTGTTTGCTGATGATAATGCGCCTTTCCAAAGCCCTGATAGACATGGAGATGGCAGATTATAGTGCAGCTTTAGATCCGGCATACACGACACTAGAGTTTGAGAACATGCAAGTCCTGGCCATAGGCAACGGTAAGTCCAACTTTGCTCTTCTCTCTTAAAGTTTGAGTTGGTTGTGCTGGGGTGGATGGGGGGGGTATGAGGCAGAATTCAGGGGTCTGTTTGCAAAGAGGTAGCAGCTTGAATGAGTGGCAGCAGCCAGAGAGGGTGAAGGCTTTTGTGATTCGTTTCTCTTGTTCTTTGGACCAAGAGAGACAAACCTTTCCTGGCAATAGAGTTTCTTCTCCAAACTCAAACTTCTTACCTGTTTCTAGGCAAGTTCTTGTTTAGCCCACACTCAGCTTCAGTTGGGCAACAATTTAAAGGATGGGTGCGATATAAGAACTGGAAGAACATTGCAGGGTTTTTCTTTTTTCTTTTCTGGGCTACCTAGGGAAGACATAGGGGGAAAAAACATACGTAGAAGAGGGGTGACATGGATAGCAATCGTATGAAAAAAAGGAGCCACATTGGTTTCTCAGAGTGGGTTTTAGCAGCAGTATTTATTTATTTATTGGATATATGTCCTACTTTTCTTCCTAAAAATGTAGTTGAGAAATGCAAAAAATGTGCCTTCACCTGATTTAAAAAATATCACCACTTGGAAAAGTTACTTTTTCTTTGGACAACAACTCCTAGAATTTCCAGCTAGCATGGCTTATGGTGACTGGGGATTCTGGGCGCTGTAGTTGAAAAGGTGACATTTCCAGACTTTTTAACATGGCCACCAGGAAGAGTCATTAGCTTTATAAGAAGTAATTTCTTCCATTCCCTGCCACCCGCATGTATTACAAGACAGGAGATTGTAATTAGAGTAAAGTTGCTTCATGGTTCAGGAAGGGTGGAATAAAATGACTTCAGCTTTCTAACAGTAAACTGGCAATAAGCTCCCTCACCTCTATCACCACCGAAACACAGAGGAAAACAATTCCATGTAAGGTTTCATAGGATCAGGCTGTGTATTATGAAGTATGCTATGTTGCAGTTATTTCACATCATGTTTATATACAGGACATTTTTTGGAATCCATGTGTTATGTTTGTAACCTACGCTTGTTGCATATGCTCTGTTCGTAACCTTTACAGCTTCTGTGCCCTGTTGGTCCGAATTATTTATCCAGTGTTATGTGAGTCGTAACCTACGCTTGTTGCATATGCTCTGTTGTAACCTTTACAGCCTCTGTGCCTTGTTGGTCCAAATTATTTATCCAGTGTTACAGTATGTGAGTTAAGCTGAGGTAGAGCTTCCAGTCTCATACAATGAATGCTTAGACCATATTGTATCATCTCCCAATTTTGTTGAGATATTTTGGCAGGGCGGGAGGAGAAGCCTAGGTTTTTGACGGACAATCATATCCTGCCTTCTAGTCAGAGTGGTTCAAGATATGATACAAATTAGATGACAAGGAGATCATGTTTTTCAGCTGCAAATATGTCAGGATTTCCTGTAGTGACGATCTATCATGTGAGACGCTACAGATGTATTGGTCCGCAGCTTTCCATCATCACTGGACAACCCAGCCAGTTATGTGGGAAGGCTGTTTTGTAGAAAAGGCAAACATTGAAGGCGGACATTTTTGCTTCTTTGCCCTTCTTTTGCTCTGAGCAGTTTTCCGTCATCTACACCAGGAACTTTAGTGCTGTGATTAAGGAAGTGTGCTGAGCTCTCTGGCAAGCAATTCTAAGTACATCTCTAAATTGCAACTCACTCCACATAGAATGGAGCCAAGATGGTTATCCTGGTATAAAACTTTGTGTGGAAGATACATCCCTAGCGGAATCTTTTTTTGTTCACAAGTCATAGAACTTTCTTGGACCATGTACCTCACTCTTCTGAATAGCAGCCGTATTCTGTTTTATACAGCCACATGCCATACGTTAATATAGAAATGTATATTCCCACACTCATGCTGCCACACATTGTGGACTTCAACTCCCATCAGCCAGCATGGCCATTAGCCAATGACCAGACGTCCCACGAGTTGTAATGCAAACATCTGGGAGTTTGTAACCCAAAACAGAGGGAGGGAACCCGTTTGAGGATGCCTGCAAAAATAAAAATTCTTAATGGAGGCACCTTTTAGTTTTCAAAAAGGATGCTTTCACATGTTAAAAGCTTCTAATTGTAATTTCATAGTTCTTACTTGCAGCTATTTAATAAACACAATCCCTGTGTTCTGATCATGAATACAGGTCTCTTCTAAAGTACGTGCTTTGATATTTACCAAATGATGATATTCTGCTTGAGATCTGTGCCCTTATTTCAACTGGTGTAACACCAACTTCCTTACTTGGGACAGGCTTTGAACCCATTACCTTTGCTAGCATGTCCTAAAATTGAAAACATTTTACTGTTTCAGGAATGGCATACAATAGAACAAAACAAAACAAAAAGTACTCATTTGTTACTTTTTAAATTTTTTTTAAAAGTACACCATCGATTTATAGGAAAATGTTCATTTAAAATATCTTTTGGACATAACATCAGAAGACATAAAAATAGTTCCCTGCAAGTTTAAAGGAGGCAGTAGTAAGACTACTGCTGAAAAAGGATTAAGGTTACCGGACAGTCTTTAATGTTCCATCTTTGGGCAAGGTGATAGAACGGATTGTGCCTTCTTAGCTCCAGGGGTTATAGGATGGTTATGGGATGGGGACTACGTTGGTCACTGTGGAGGATGACCTATGCTGGATACTTGATACAGGAGTATATCCCTGTTGGTTCTGCCGGAACTCTCAGAGGCTTTTGACACCATCAAACATGATATTCTTCTGGGCCGTCTTCTATGGTGGCCCCGATCCCTTCTGAAGGGGAGAACTCAGAAGGTGGTCCTTGGCTTCAGGCCTGGTTATGGGACTGAGACTGCTTTGGTCACCTTGGTGGACAACCTACGTTGGGAACAGGACCGAGGAGTGTATCTACTCTAACATAAGTAAATCTGGATCCAACACACGACTCCTTTACCTTTGCTGAGGAGAAAGGCTGGACTACTCAGAATTCTAGAGTGGATTTTTCCTATTTTTCCGAGTACATCAATCAGTAGGCCACTTACAAGGACTTTGGGCATAGCATGTGAAAGTTCCTCTTTGTTTTTTAAAAATAAAGTCATTAAAATTGGGACTGAGAAAGAGCAGCAGTATCAATAATATATGGACAATGAAAATATAACCCAATCAGGTAAACTGATTGCTAAGTCACAGCAATATCCTGAAAGCTTGTTGAGTTTGAAAGGTGGGATATGAATCTTTTAGGAACATAATTAATAATCAGTCATCGTCTTGAAATATTTGGCCCATTTGTCGTATTTTGTTCAGCCACTTTCCCTTGCACACCTAATCCTAGGCGAGGAAAATAGCACTATGGTTCTTTAACTCCTTATTATGGGGAGAACCTTTTCTTCAGCTAGAGCAAGAAATACTGTATGGTTTTAATCGGCCATTTTCAAATCTATTCACTCTTAAGCATAGAAGAGAACCAGGACAGCTGCTTAGTTATTTGTGTGCGTTTTTAGTCTTCCTAAAAATCAGCACAGTAGATGATGCCATGTTAAACTCATAATTCTAGCTAGCCAGCTGCATTCCATTCATATATTTGTCCATCATTTTTGTTAAAAAAGTTTAGCACCCTCTCTTGCTTTGAATATTTGATGTCCAGTGCTTCTACGTAGCTGTGGCTTAACACCGTTAAATACATACCACTCTCATTTCCCAAACAGCTGCTCCTGCTAATTAAAATCACTCTTCTTTTTTGCAAATATACTGCAAGTTTTCTTCATTCATGTAATTTCATCATCATCATATACAGTCATAGTCATTGGGACATTGAGAACACTGTTGTAGAATGTTATAAAATATAATCAGCTGCAGATCTTAGAAAGAACACAATCAGCTTCAAAAAACTGCAATACAGTATTAGGAAGAACGTTCATACTACATTGCTATGTAACTGATACCTAGATTTTTGGTTAAAACTTGTATCTGTTGTATGATACCAGTCAAAGGCTGTGTCTCGTATTTTATCATTGTAATCATCATAATCCTCTTAGAGCTCCAGAGCTGGATCATCATCAAGTCCAGCTTGTCTGTCAAGGAGACATAGTGGGAATTCAAACCCAGCCTCTGGCTCCATAGCCAGATACCTAAATCCTGAGCTAGCCAGCAGTTCTTAAACCTATCTTTCTAATCTTTTGCGTAACTGTATTTTCCTTAATTCTATATGCTAACCTTTTCTCTAATTGAATATTACAATCCAGTGGGCTGATGACAAGGCACAGGATGAGTAGAGTAAAAGTAAAATGTTAAACTCTGCGTACAGTAGCTTTCAGATTACTAGTGGCAATACTACAATGAGCTTGCATTGCCATGTCCTCTGTGGTGGCCAAACTTTTGCGGGTTTCCGAACAGAAATAAACTTGTAGTTCATGAAAGCTTATGTCATACTATGTCTATTAACTCTTTAAAACTAGGGTGGGCAAAGTGTGGCGCTCCAGATTTTCAGGGACAGCAATTTCTAGCAATTCTAGCCAGCAAAGCCAGTGAGGAAGAATGATGAGGAATTTACTGCCAAATGCCTTGTTGATTCTAATTACAGATTACTGTATCTCTAATAGGCCACAGGGGACCAGGTGGTAGAGAAAATTAGTATAGTCCATTTCATGAGATATTATTTGTTTAATTTCATTACATTTCGTTATGATATATGCCATTGAGCAGCTTCTGATATACAATGATTCTAAATAGCATTTTTGAGATACATTAGATGTTCAGAGAATGGTTTTAACATTGCTGAGCAAGGATTTGAACCCGGGTCTCCTGAGTCCCACTCTGACACTCTCTCTTCTGTAACACACTGGCTCACATATGGATGAACTATTCTCAAAGCAATATTATCAGAGGCATGGCATCACTGGATCTGGGCCACATCTGATGACAATACTTAAATATACACAAGAGGAACCTAATGATCAGCCACATCAGCAATTGCTGTGAGCATTAACTGCCGTAATTGCAAGCAGTTGGGGATTAGGAAGAAAATTAATAGTGCTGACCCCTGCAAATTACTTATGGGACAATTTCCTCACATATGAAGCTCCTTGCACTTCTTGGAATGCCTTACACCGTGTACCATCATTGCAACACAATGGCAGCTGTCAAAAGTTCAGCTGATGTTATCGGCAACAGTGGCAGCATCATCATCATGAGTTGTCAAATCCCAAGTAATTTAAATAATGATGCAATTTGTTATTATGAAACTAAAAATATTGGGCTAAAACTCATACCTTGGGGGAAATCTTATTTTTTTTCCCCAAAAATGATTGTCTGAGGGCAGAATCTGACAATATATCTTTTGACATGTTGTACAGGATCATGCCAAGCTGTGTTGCTGCAGATCAATTTTATTTATTGCTTGGTTTAAATTCTTATATCTCCTCTTTAGATAAAAAGTCTCAGAAAGCAGTGTATGTGTGATGAGTAGAAACAAGAGGTTTGCAGTTTTAAAAACACAACACAAAAGGAAAGAATTTTGGTGAGGAAAGGGGTAAAAAGCAAACTGAGGCAACTGCCACTTGAACCCCCATAACTCTTATCATTATTGGGTTCAATGAACTATGTTGATGGAGGTATGGAGCTACATACTGTACAGGCTTCCTTTACAAGTCGGATTTCTTTAAAAGTCTGATTTATCACTTGCCCCATCCTTCCATCAACAGGCTGATGCAGTCAGGTTGCCTTGGAATCCTGGGACTTATAACAGAACTTGACAGCGAGGCTGTTTGTGAAATTTTAGGTAAAGGTAAAGGTAAAGGTTCCCCTTGACAATTTTTGTCCAGTCGTGTTCGACTCTAGGGGGCGGTGCTCATCCCCGTTTCCAAGCCATAGAGCCAGTGTTTTTGTCCGAAGACAATCTTCCGTGGTCACATGGCCAGTGCGACTTAGACACGGAACACTGTTACCTTCCCACCGAGGAGGCCCCCATTTATCTACTTGCATTTGCATGCTTTCGAACCGCTAGGTTGGTGGGAGCTGGGACAAGCGATGGGAGCTCACTCCGTCACGTGGATTCGATCTTACGACTGCTTGGTCTTCTGACCCTGCAGCACAGGCTTCTGCGGTTTAGCCCGCAGCGCCACCATTTTAGACCATTTTTAGACCATTTTAGTGGTCTAAAAAAGACCTCTGAAACTTCTTTTCTCTGTTCAAGGACCATTTTTAATTAAATGCATGTGATGTGTTCGGAAAAAAAACTTGGAAAACACTGAGATTTTGTGCAAAGTATGCAAAATTGCAGAAATAAGTTTTGAAATAAAAATAAATAAATAGCACCTTAACACCAATAAGGCAAATTGTGTGAAATGATCGTGGCTGCTACTTTGACACCTGGACCTTCAAGAATTAGAGGAGACGGCTTTCATCTTTTTAAATATTTGTTGATTGTTTATTACTGTACTTGCTCTGTGTGTGTCTGCGTCTCTGACTGTGTGCTTTGCTTTGCAAGAGAAAGGATATTAGTTTTCCCCTGAGAAAGTCTGTGCAAATTACAGAGACCACAAGGAGCAAAAATGGCACTTCTTTATTCAGTATCGACTAGGAATCTCATTGGATTTTGATATTCCTCACTGAGGTATCTTGTTGAGATTAGTTGAGGCAGCCTAAAAGCCATGGGGATGAATAATTTAATGACTATTTTTTTATATTCCTACTTGGGGGAAGGGGTAATTGTACTGACTTATTTTAGAAGATTGTTGCAAAGTCTGTAGCTAGCTACACACACAGGACATTTTCCATCTTTCTTCAACCTGGTGTTATCCAGCTGTATTAAACTATAACCTCCATCATGTCCACCCAACACGCTGGTTGAGCATGATCGGAATAGTGGCCCAACATGTCTGGAGAGCACAAAGTTGGCATCGTGTAACCTATAAGTGTGATCATGGTTGTTTGTGAGTTTGCTTGACTCTAGCAATTTCCTGTTTCTATCTGGATGCCAGTTCTGCCGCTGATGCCCACCCTTGTTTTTTTTCCTGGACAGACACCTCCCCATCGGAAGCAACAAATCTCAATGCCTCCAACAGCATTGGAGCCAGCGTGCTGTGTGCTATCTGCGGAGATCGTGCTACAGGGAAACACTATGGAGCCTCCAGCTGTGATGGCTGCAAAGGGTTTTTCAGGAGAAGCGTCAGAAAGAACCACATGTATTCCTGCAGGTGGAGTAGACAAAGGATCATCCGAGGGGGATCCTTAAAGATGTGAAATAAATGAAGGTGACAGCCAAAACGAGAGTGTGCAGATTTGTGTTTTGGAGTGGTGGCCGCTAGAATTCCACAGACAGCTATGCTGTGAGTTGGCAGTCCAAAAACACAACTCTGCAAACCTCTAGAAATAAGGTACTTCTAAATAGAGAGCTCCTGGAGTTACCAATCAAAAGCTATTGTGCGCTTTCCCTCTTATAGAGCTTTTTTGTGGAAAGAGCGGTGGGGGACAGAAGAAATGTGTGAGGAAACATGAGAGCAGTGATGAATATACTGTATATAAATTTTGAGAAGTAGGCAGTCATCATGAAAGTAACAATACTACTGTGTACAGTCAGCTGTTTGAAAATATCTATGCTGTGCATTAATATAGGCTGAAATCCTGTTGTCCAATTATGCAAAGGCATAGCCTTCAGAGGTGAACTGCTGTAAGACATTATCTATTATTTCTCAGTGTTCTTGATCTTCTACTCCCCTGCACATGATCTGTGGGAGATTGTTGCTATGTGCTATCAAGAGGCATCAGCCTTGCATTACAGGTGAAAATAAAATAAATGTAAAAAGTTTTTTTTTTTTTAAAAAAAAAGACAAAAACATGGTGGCATCTTAAATACTGTGTGATGGATTTGTCCATTAAAAAAGGATAAAAATTAGTTTTTAAGGTGTCACCATGCTTTTTGATTTTTTTTACTTTTTATTTCGATTTCACCTATAATGCTTGTACAGACTAACATGGCCGCCCCTTCTACAGTGTCAACCTTCCAGTGACCCTAATTGGGTTCTAAGGTATATGAGATATCTCAGGAGTGGTTTTACCAGTGCTACAGTCGTCCCCTATGAGTTTTCCATGGCCTAACAGAAATTTAAGTCTGGTACATCACTTTATCCACCACACCATGCTGCCTCTCAATATTTGGGTTGCAGTAGCTTGCTTGACTTCATTGGGTCCATTGCATTCTGAAGACAAAGATGTTGATTTTCAAATGGCATCTTTGCTTGCCTTTTTAGTGGGAAGATGATTTTCATACAGAAGGTGGTTTCAGGTCATTGGAAATTAAAGCTCTGCCTGTACCAACTAGGCATGCTATGTTGCAAACTAAGGAATAGGTGTTTATCTTTAAAATATTCTAGAACAGTGTTTCCCAAACTGAGGGGTTGTGAAACCCAAGGGGTTCACAAAGTGTTTTCTGGGGCCTCTGAGGTCACCTTATATGTGTTGTAGTCCTTGTTAAATAATGTATTCCTTGACCTTTTGGAGCCAGATATTAAAGTTAGCAGGTATGTATAAGAAACAGACCATTTTGGTAGGGAAAAATTCCTCAATTTTCTACTTTTTATGCAAATGTGGTGGGCACAGATTACTTGGGTATTATAAAAGGGGGTCATGACTCGAAAAAGGTTGGGAACCACTGTTCTAGAAGGTGACCTCACTGTTCATGATCTTATTTTCTTCTCTCTCTGGTGCTTTTGGCTACCAGCCTCCTTGTATTCATAGTAAAAACATGGAAGTCTTTTTTTTCCTGGTGGAGGAAGAAAAGGAGGAAGGTGCAGAGATGACAGAGGAAGAAACTGCTGGAGGAAGCCATAGCATACTCATTGCCCATGTATATAGCGGCCATGTTCTTCTGACATAGTTTAGTGGAACAGGAAAGAACCACACTCAAGAGCTTAGAATATCCCTACCCTTTTTTTAAAACTACCAATGTCCAAAATTCACAAGTCATCAGGATCACTGCCTATGCTGTCTAGGGGATTCTGGGAACTGTAGTCCAAAAGAAATATTTTTCCCAAATTGTGCTCATAATGATTCAGACTCTGAGGCAATATTCTCAGAATATTGCCTCTACCGTTTCCATCTCTTTGTGGTTGCAAAAGGATTGGAAGTCTCTATCTATCCTTAAGAGGAACGAAAGTTTAGCTTCATGCAAATAGTCAGTGTGATTAATTACATAATGCCACACAAACCATTGTTAAGATTAACCCCAATGTAATAGATTTCAGTGACATCACAAGCTGTGGTTTATTTAAAAAGGGGCTGCCCCAGCTCCTCATTTTTTTTCTAATTAGCCTTTTCTGTCTCCATAAGTTCTACTTTATTATTATTATTCAAAAACACCAGGAACAGTCGAAATTATAATAACATTGACTGACGTTATATAACAGATACAAGTTTTAACCAAAAACCTAAGTATCCGTTAAATATCGGCACAGTATGTACAGTGGTGCCTCACTTAACGAGCGCACCACATAACAATGAAATCGCATAGCGATCCATTTTTTCGGATCGCTAATGCGATCGCTTAACGTTTTTTGTATAGGGCTAAATTCGCTTTGCGAAGACCGGTAAGCGTTTCGCTTACCGATCTTTGCAAAACGAAGCCCGACGATCAGCGACTGGGATTACATAACAGATACAAGTTTTAACCAAAAACCTAAGTATCCGTTAAATATCGGCACAGTATGTGTGCTGTTCCTAATATTGCCGTTTTTGTAGCTCTGATGGTGTGATTTCTGAGTTCTTCAACTGTTTATGCTGATGATTATGATGATGATCACCAGTGCCACAAAAAAATGTGTAGTATGGGCACATCTAAGAATAGGGAGCTTTGTGTGGCCTGAAGTGTTCTCCAGCTGATTTTCAAGTGACTACAGCTGGCTTAATTCTGCCTTCACCTATGCTTGTGTTGGTTTACAAATTCCATCATGGCAGTGTCAGCTGGGGATAATGGGAACTCTAGCCTACCATGTGGGGGAAAGGGAAGAATAAACTTTCAGGACACTGATCAGTATTGACGTTTACAGAACAGAGCCTGTAGGTCGTAGAAAGCTTAATTCCTTCAAGACTTTGGATGGTTTCCTTTTTTAAATGCGCTTTCTTTCTCTTCCCCGCCCCCCAGGTTTAACAGGCAGTGTGTTGTAGACAAAGACAAAAGGAACCAGTGTAGATACTGCAGGCTAAAGAAATGCTTTCGAGCAGGAATGAAGAAAGAAGGTGAGGTGCTGTCCCACGTCTCTGATAGAACCTTTCCTCTTATTTTATGGCTTATTTTATGGTTTAACTATACATCAGTCGTGAGCAACTTTTTCAGGCCTGGAGACAAACTTCACTTTGGGAAACATGAAACAAAATACACACATGGCTAAACTTAACATGTAGTGTGCAACAACACAAATTTCAATGATCATGGTTTCGATGGGCTTGCATTGTGCTTAAATCAGGCAGTCTACGGTTTCCTGTAATGTTGTTGTTTTATATCATTTAAAATCATGATGTCCCTCTCTCCCATCCAGGTCTCTCTGATTGTAATCATCCATATTTGATTTTTACCCCGCCCCTCTAGAATCATGTCTACATGATTTAAAATCATGATGTCCAGCTCTCCCATCCAGGTCTCTCTGATTGTAATCATCCATTTAGTTTAATCTGTGCCCCTCACCAGGTACTGACATAATTTAATTCAGGAAAGGGGAATCTGTAGCTCTCTGGGTGTTCTGGACAACAACTCCCATAGGTATTGACGTCTCTGGGTGTTCTGGACAACAACTCCCATGATCTCCCATAGGTATTGACAACACTGGCTGTGGCTACATCTGGCAGTTATCTAAGAACACTTATTTGAGCTACATCTGGCAGTTATCTAAGAACACTTTTTTGATTGATTGATTGATTTGCAACATAGATACTTTTGATGAAGTGACCAGTGGCCCACAAAGGTTTATGGAATAATAAATGTGTTAAGTCTTTAAGATGTCATAAAACTCTACTGTGGCCCAAGGTCCTGTCCATTAGAATGGACTGTTGTATCATAGTTTGGAAAAAATGACTTTTTCAGATTGTAGATCCCAGAATCCTATGCTGACTTTGTTGGCTGGAGGATTCTGAGAGTTATTTTCCCATGTAGTTATATTTCCAAACTCCTTATGGTCCAATTAATCTTTTCCTCTTTCAAGTGATTGCTATTGGTGCAACAGATTAAGGCCGCTAATTAACACTCTTTCCCCAGCCTTCAGCAAAGTCGGGGCCTGTACATAGTTAAGAAGGTGGCTCAGATTTGCCAAATGGATAGAGGAATCCTCTTCTCTCTCCAAAGCACCCACTCATCTTGTATTTGTCTGTTAATATTCGATAGAAGTTACATTAGGTCCATGACCAGCCAAACACTGAGTAAACATTTAGAATACATCATGCTGTGCTTGTGCTCTGGAGATCCTGATAACACATGGCGTAACCTTGAGCGGTCCTATTAACAACCGCTGACTGCCGGGTTTTCATTCCAGTACAGCCTTGTTATAGCCCTATTATCAAGCCAAATGATATGACTGGGAAATAAATCTGGAGAGGCACAGGTGTAAAAGTAACAATCAGATATTGTTTGATACAGATATTCTTCGAATAAGCTGTAGAGAAGATAGTTAGGCACTCGGTTTGAGTGGGTAGTTCAAGGAGCCCCAGCACCTGGAACCCAGCTTGGCCTCCCAGGAAATTAGCACAGTGGTCACAAACCAATTAGGTGCCTCACCAGGAGATAAAGGTAAAGGTTCCCCTTGACATTTTTAGTACAGTTGTGTCCGATTCTAGGGCGCGGTGCTCATCCCGTTTTCAAGCTGTAGAGGCAGCGTTTGTCCGAAGACAGTTTCCGTTGTCACGTGGCCAGCGTGACTAGGGAACGCTGTTTTACCTTCCCACTGAGGTGGTACCTATTTATCTACTTGCATTTGCATGCTTTCGAACTGCTAGGTTGGCGAGGAGCTGGGACAAAGCAATGGGAGCTCACTCCGTCGCATGGATTCGATCTTACGACTGCTGGTCTTCTGACCCTGCAGCACAGGCTTCTGTGGTTTAGCCCACAGCACCACCACGTCCCCTCACCAGGATATATTGGAACACAATTCCTGGTTCCAGAAAGGAGCCCCTAATGGAGTTGGTTAACTCAAACACTCTGTCGTATGATTCCCTTTGAAGGAAATAAGGCTAATATCAGCCCCAAATATTTTGCTGCCTGAGGGAAAAGGCAAGAAAGTGCCCCTCTGCGTTGCATGTGCAGAAGCTGACTGGGGTGGCAAGTGATGGAATAGCATGGCATCCTCCACCACACCTGAGATGTTGTGCTAATTGATGGGGCTGTGGACAGGCCACTGCTTTACCTTTCCTTATTTCTGGAAAGTCCAGGCAGAACTGCACAGGTTCTTCCACTGTTCTCTCCCCACCCACCCACATTTTTTGGCACTCATTCTAATGGTAGGGCCAGTCCTGATTGTTACCTTTCAGAAGCACCACCACCAGCAGCAGGAATGACCCCCAAAGAGACAATTGGATTGTTTCCCTGACTGGTGAAACTGACAAGGTTTTCCTTTGTCTTCATCAGAGAAATAGGAGAAATAAACTTTGCACAGAATGTTTTCCACTTGTCCATTTGGACTTCTTCCTTTGTCCAGCCATCTGCAGATCCTACACCACCTCAGTTTGCTCTGGATTGTATCCCCAGCTCTCCAGAACAGATGAAGGGGGTGTGGGAAGCTTCAGAGATAGGTAAAATTACCTCTTCCTTGTTCCAACAATAGATGTTGTCCTATAAGGAGAAGGGGCTGATTGGATACAATTCTCTATTGATACAAAAATCACCAGCAAAACTATACAAACTGACAAATGTCTTTTCTTTTCTTTGTGCTTCCTTCTAACAGAAGTGTAAACCGGTGTGATGTTGTTGTTATTTTTCAGCTGTACAGAATGAACGGGATCGAATCAGTACTCGGAGATCCAGCTACGAAGACAGCAGCTTGCCTTCCATTAATGTTTTACTGCAAGCAGAAGTACTTTCTCAACAGGTAACTCCTGTTTTAGAATTCAGAACATAAAAATCAATATAAACCTTGTAATAGAGGTCTGTACATCTTTTGAATTTTTCCCCATCTCGCTGTCTCAACAAGAAATATCAATACATTGTTTTCAATAAATCCTAAATCTTTTATCTTTCCATCTTGTGTGTGCTGTCTTCGGAGTGAGTAAGCACCACTGACTGCAAAGACTCTTAAGTAAAGGTAAAGGTTTGTCCAGTCGTGTTCGACTCTAGGGGGCGGTGCTCATCCCCATTTCCAAGCCATAGAGCCAGCGTTTGTCCGAAGACAATCTTCCGTGGTCACATGGCCAGTGCGACTTAGACACGGAACGCTGTTACCTTCCCACTGAGGTGGTCCCTATTTATCTACTTGCATTTGCATGCTTTTGAACCGCTAGTTTGGCGGGAGCTGGGACAAGTGACGGGCGCTCACTCCGTCACGTGGATTCGATCTTATGACTGCTTGGTCTTCTGACCCTGCAGCACAGGCTTCTGCGGTTTAGCCCGCAGCGCCACCACGTCCCTTGAGCAAAGACTCTTACTTCTCAGTAAACCTGCACAGGATTGGGGCTGTCAGTCTCCCGCAGGGTTTCTTCCTTTTATCTGCATCTGATTCTCAAATGAGTAACAATCTCATAGGAAATACATAGTAGACCATCAAATGTACTGCTCTACTGTACTGGCTGGGTATGATGGGACTTGTAGTCCAACACATCTGGAGGTTGGGGAAAGCTGTATTATACAGTTGTATCCACATGCCCCAATCTTTATGACAATGGATGAACTACTAGCAGTTACCCAGTACACGAGGCCCCTTTGAGCACTCAGAAAATGTAACAAAATGCACAAGGTATGATGTTTAGATTGTCTAAAACAGCTGTTCCTATGGTGTTGAAAATACAAATGCTTGGTGAGGCCCTTATATGCATAACTAATAAGCAGAGCTTGCTGGACGTCAGTTAGAGTCCCCCAACTAGCATGTTTGAATTGCAATGCAAACAAAAGCAAGCAGGCAAAAAAAAAAACCCCAACGTTTCTAATAAAGGCACAATACTGATGGATGTGCCATTTGGGTTTTTTACTCCAACTCCCAGAATCCTCCAAAAGCTCCCCAGGCAGAGACCTGAGAGTTCTAGCCCAGAGACAGATATTGACAAACACATTTCACTCACCAGGACTGAGGCCAATGTCATAATGTTCCCTGGGAGAACTAGGTCTAAGTCCTTTGTGGCACAGTGGTTAAACTACAGTACTGCAGTGAAGACTCTGTCATGACCTGAGTTCAGTCTTGGGTCCAGGGAGCTGGCTTGAGGTTGCCTCAGCCTTCCATCCTTCCAAGGTCAGTAAACTGACTACTCAGTTCACATAGGGAGAGGGAGGCAATTTATAGCCTATATGATTAAATTGTAAACTGCCCAGAGCATTAGGCACTATGGACTGGTATATAAGCAGCATGCTTTTGCTTTGTGGGAAGTGTAGTCTCACTGGCCATTAGGCTGTAAATAAGGCCACCTCCAAAGAACTACACATCCTACAAAGTCCTCGGCTTTCCAGTAAGCTCCTGGATAGTTTCCTTTTTGAACAGGAAACAAGGTCTGAGGTAGGCCTTCATCTAGGTAAGTAAAAGGTAGATGTGGGTCTGTGGACTGGATTCTCTCAGAATTCTGCCTGGGAAATTCTTGAAGAATTCTGGAAGTTGACATTCTGGGGGTGGGGTGGGGGACAGAATGACATGCCTTTGTTGGACAGGATCAATAGTCACCAAGGATAAGTAATTATATGTTAAATCTTCTGGGTTCCTCATCAGCTGTTCAGTGACACTTCAAGAGTGGGTAAGATTCCAGCAAATACAACCATTTAGGCCTGCACTGGTTCTTAACCTTGGGTTACTCAGGAGTTTTGGACTGCAACTCCCAGAAGCCTTCACCACCAACTGTGCTGGCTGGGGTTTCTGGGAGTTGCAGTTCAAAAACATCCGAGTAACAAAGGTTAAGAACCACTGATTTAGGGCAAAGAGAGTGGAGATGTGGCGAAATAATTTGCAGATGATCCAAAATCTTTGGATCAGATTTTCTTGCTTAGTAAACATGAACAACTGGGATCTTTGGATAAACATGCTAAAAGGAACAGCACAAAGAATCTGACAGGAAAAGCAAAGAGGAAGGGGGGAAATTCTCATATCTCACAGAAGGATGAAGGTTCATTGTGGAGGAAGGCTTGGATTTTAAACATTTTCAGTATCTCACAGTGTACAAGGGGGTCATTGCGTTGAAAACAAATGCATGTGGAGGAGAGAACAATAGCTAATTTCACATGATAGAATTGCCTAATGAAAGCATGGCTGATGAGTGTTGAAATGTTTTATAAAGGTTATATACATTCTGGCAGATCATGCTGACAGTAGGAGCTGCTATGGACAACTTCAGAAAATCATTGACTCTCCACTGGAATTTTTAAAACTGAGCATGGAGAGTCATCTCTGAGGGATGCTTTAGCTGTGGATTTCCTTATTTTGAAGGGAGTTGAGTTAGGGGATCCCTTCCAGCTATACAGTTCCACGAGTCTTCAATGCCAACTACATTGCACGTGAGAATTCAGTCTTAGAAAGACCCAGATGGGTTGTGAAAACACTTGGGGGTTAAGATGATGGATAGTTCAGTGGGCAAGCTGTTCCCAGGGTGGCTGCAGAGCCAGTGGTTGGGAGTTCAACTCCCTGCAGTGCATCCAAGAAGAGTGAGCCTGTGTAGCCTTGGGCAAGCTGCCCCCAGGAGAAGAGACTTCTGACTACTCTTTACCCAGAAAACCATGAAAAAGTTTGCCATGAGTCAGAGTTGACTTGACGGAATACAGTTATTATTATTAACCCAACTTAATCCAAAACACAAACAGCGTATGCTTTAGGAATTGAGTGTGTTTAGTTCTAGCACAACCAACAGAAACAAGGCAAACAAGCAAGCAAACTTACTTACATGTAATTTTTTTTTTAAAATGCTAGTTCTAGCACAACCAACAGAAACAAGGCGAACAAGCAAGCAAACTTACATGTAATTTTTTAAAAATGCAAATATTTGGAGGCCAATAACATAGGGAGAATGAGAGATGTTAAAACATAAATCATTTGTAGATACCAGTGTTTGTCAGAATATGTGTTTGCATTTGGCGAGACAGCAAGGGCTGTCTAGAGATGTGCCTGGTGAGCTTTTAGCATTGTAGTCCAAAAACACATATTTGCACATCTCTACTGATTATTATTCCTTAAGGTTTACCCAGCATCCTTTCCTATCTGTTTATGTCCTCAGTAATGGGAGGAATGTTTTTTTCTTCTTCTTTTTCTTGCAGATGTCATCGCCCATGACAGTGATCAGCGGAGATGTCAGGGGGAAAAAGATAGCAAATATTGCGGATGTGTGTGAATCCATGAAGCAGCAGTTGTTAGTATTGGTGGAGTGGGCCAAGTACATTCCAGCCTTCTGTGAGCTTCCTCTGGATGATCAGGTCAGCTGGTGGTTTGCACTCTTATTAGTACTTAAAATTAACAGTGGCTTTTTTATTGCATTTCGATAGCATTCACAGGCCTCTTATGGCACTCATTATGTATACTGTTGGTTTACTGTACACATGCATATTGAACTGCCTGACAAAATAGGAAATAATTTCAAGAAAGTTAGTTGTAATTTCAAGAAAGTTAGGCATGTATAAGCACCTTTGAAACTCAGAGCCAAAGCATACATTACAGATGACATTGCTAGAGCTGAAATCACTATAATATTCCAGAGATGTGAACTAGGCAGACTTTGTCTAGGTGTCTGACAGAGTAGACTTGTAAACAAAATCAGATCAGTTGCAAAATAAAACAAGCTAATTTACCAACTATGTTAAATAAGAAAGCTCCTGTTGGCAGAATCACATGCTTTCAGCAGTTGAGGAATTCCTTCTTATAATGAAAGGCTATCTATAATGGATAGTTGTACACTTAAATAATTAAACTATAGTCTTATACACACTTACTTGGGAACAAACCTCACTGAATCCAGTGAGTTTTACTTCCAATCTAGAGCTTGGAAACATTGCTCTTTCGGAATATAACTCCTAAAATCACCCAAGCCACTGGTGGATTCTGGGAGTTATAGTTCAAAAAGCTAATTATCTTAATAATCTTAGAACCGCGGAGCTGGAAGGAACTCTGTGGCTCATCAAATACAATCCTTGTCAAAGAGACATGGTGGGAAATTGAACTGCCAACCCCTAAACCATTGAGTGACCCAGTAATTATGTTTACAAAAGAAAAAAGCACATAGGAGTACGTAGGATTAAACTCCTGTTAGCTTTCAGTATGAGTTGAATCGGCCTAACATTGGATATGCGCACCCACCTTCTAGTAGTGAATGGTGAGAGGGGACAGATCCTGTGTATATACTCATGCCCATAGAGTTCATAGCTACACATTGTTCCTCTGCAGTATATGCTCCAGGAATTGTTCTCAAACATTTTAAATGGGTGGGAGGTAGACTGATTTCTCTGCTCATTTTTTATCTTTTTGAGGCACTCTAACAATAAACTATAAAGCTGATCATCCTCAAAACAGCTGCGACATGAGTTAACTATATTTCATGAGTAAACTATATTTTAAATGATCAATAATTCCACCAGCACTATATGTGAACAGCATTCTTAATATAATTTGGACTCTTGTCAATCACACAATATTATTGGGCATAGAACTTCAGTATCTGCTGTGAAAAGGGTAGGGAAGGATTGCATTTCCTTTGAGATTTTTTTTAAAAGCATGAACAGCTGGAGGACAAAGATTCCTTATTTTATTCACTTTTAAATTTTTTGTGGCACTCTTTCATCCAAATAGATTCTTACCAAACCTGTATACGTAAAACGAGAAAGAACAATATAATACTGAACTCACCATGTCAGAAATTAAAGAGCATAAAGAAAAACTCTCAGGTTATAAAAACTCTTATTTAACACCACAACCAATTTTAATATTTGAAACCATGAAGGATGCTTTTTTCTTGTCATATTGGGGCCAAAGCCTCTGGGAAAGAGCGGTCTCTCCCTTTTCTTCAGCTCCTTTACGGCAAAATATTTCTCTGTGTTTGTTCAGTACATACAAATTGGCCCATCCCCGTAAAAGATACCCTTTCTCAAATCCTTCAGTTAATGTTTAGTGGTTGTTTGCCACACAGCTGAAGTTCCAGCCTGACATTAAGAAGCATCCATGTCATGCCGTGTGTTAGCGTTAACCTTTGTTTCAGCGGATTTAAGAAAAAAAACAAAAAACCAGAAGTGGGACAGGAGATTCAGAACATTCTTGAGGATCACCGAAGGGTATAAAATGACACAGTGCAATCATTAACAGCAGAGCAAGCAGATGGATTGGGTTTTAGGTTTTTTTAAATAACAAGAAACACCAAACCTCAGGTTCTTCCCCACAGCAAAATGTCCATAGTCATGAGAGAAATACATTAATTGCATTGAGCCGGTGATAGTAATTCTCTGAAAGGTGTGACCTTGCACTAAGTGTAGAAAAAAGTTACTTTTTGGGACTATAGCTCCCAGAATTCACCACACAGCATGGTTTTAGAGATGGGGATATTTGTATACAAATATCCCTGCTCAGCTGGACTTCATGCACCCGCCAGTGGCAGCAGCCTCGTTCATCCTTTCAATCGCTCTTGGAGCTCTGCTCTCTTCCTGCTCGTCTAGCAACTCAGCAGCCATGCAGGGGGGCTCGTCCTCCCTCCCACCGCCTGGAGTGGCCAGGTGAGGAGGAAGAGAGCGGAGCTCCGAGTGATTGGAAGGATGAGTGAGGCTGCCACAGCTGGCGGACACCTGAGTGGACAGGACAGGCTCAGGGGCCGGCGCCTTGTGAAGTCCAGCTGCACAGGGATACCCCGATATATAGAATAACTCCATACCTTTTCCAAAGTCTGCTTGCAGTTCCCAGACATAGTGTTAATATAGCAAAATAGGGAGGCTGGTACTTTACTTTTATTGGATTTTTACCCCGCCCCCCTAGACAAAGTCTACTTGGGGCGGCTTACATACATAATACAAACATAACAGAAACAACATCCTAAAAACATTTAAAACTTCAAATTTTTAACAATTATATAAATCCTTGCCAAGATGGAGTGATTAAAAAGAAAAAAAAAGTAAAGGGAAGGCCTGCCTGAAAAGCCAGGTTTTTAAATGACTTTTAAAAACACCCAGTGAGGGCGGCAGGTGAATTTCTGTTGGGAGGCTGTTCCAGAGCTGAGGGGCCACTGCCGAGAAGGCCCAGTTTCTTGTTCTTTCTTTCCAGGCCTCTCTCGGTGTTAGGTACTTTTTAACTTAAGCACAATGTATTTATTTATTCATTTAACTTGCATTTATTTATTTAACTTGTGACTGCCCACTACTCTAGGCAGTTTACAAAACAGAACGGTGAAGCCCCTACACCACTCCCCAAACACCAATCACATAGAAACCCAAAGAATAGGGCGATGACCAATTCATTTTTTAAAAACTAAAATTGAAAGTTAAGAAAAGCAGGAGATACAAGTTCTGTCTTCAGTCATTCCCTAAAAGTCAAGGACAGGGCCTGCTGCACCTCAGGTGGAAGTTTGCTCCATAGAGTAGGGGCCACCACTGAGAAGGTCCAGTTTCTCTTTGTCATCTTTTTGGCCTCTCTCATTGTTTCCACCCTTAAAATGGTGGTTTCGGAGGATCGTGTAAAATGGGCAGCTGTTTCCTGGGTCAGAGCTTCTGACAAATATCAAGGTTCTAAACCGCTAAGGATTTTATAGGTCAGTACAATGTATCCTTTATGTCAATGGTCCTCAACCTTGGGCCGCCAGATGTTCTTGGACTTCAACTCCCAGAAATCCTGGCCAGAAGAGGTGGTGGTGTAGGCTTCTGGGAGTTGTAGTTGAAGAACATCTGGAGGCCCAAGGTTGGAGACCACTGCTTTATGTGACAAGTAGTGCCCTATGGAGGTGACCAGATCAGCCCTTTTCCTTCATACGTTCACTGCGACTCATGGAAATTAGAACCAGCCCCTCGATAGGGCAAAATGAGACAGCAAAGGTTGGAAGATAGGCAACTGCGGCAAGATATTCAAGAACAGGAGTGTGTGTGTGTCATAAGATCCTCCCCTTCTCAGTCTCTGCCACCTTTTGAATGCATGGCAGCAACTGCACATGATGGCTAACTAGATATTTGGTCATCTTTTGCCAAAGTTTACGCCTAGGTGAGTTTTTTTGACATGGGGACTTTTTTAAATTAAATGTTTATTGTTCTTCTATTCCTGGCCCTCAAGCCCTTTTTAAAAGATTTGGATTTTTTCCCCCCTAGCTTTTTATTTGGGGGTATTTTCTTCAACTCTGTGTTTTAGTGACTTCCCCACCATCTCCCCGGTTCTTTTATGATTCGACACAGTAGAAAGTGATTTTTTTTTTTAAAAAAAGAAAACCTATATGTGACATACTGGTCCAAATCCTTCAGAAGAAAACTATGAGTGTAAAGGCAATCATACAAGCGGCTTCCCTCCTTGTTTACCATTGTCATGTTGTCATGTTGCAATTATTTTCTTTATGAGAGCATGTGGGGGAGTGTAGACAGCTATATGGGTAGAGCAGCTCATGTGAGCGTCATTTATGTTGTGCTGATAAAGTAAGATTCTGGCCATTATTTCAGTTACTGGCTTCCTCACTTCCCGTGAGAGGCGGGGTGATGCAGTAGTTCAGACTGCTGGAATGGGATCCGGGAGATGTAGGTTCAGCTCGTGTTGTCGTCCAGCCACCAACATGGTTTTCACAGATGACAACAGGATGCTTGTCCAATGATCCTCTTCATGAGGGACATTGCAGCTCTTTGCAACTGCCTGCTCTCTTTTCTGCCTTCAGCCCAGTCATAATAGGCCTTTGTTCCTCCAGGTGGCTTTGCTACGAGCACATGCAGGTGAGCACCTTTTACTTGGAGCAGCCAAACGGTCGATGGTGTTCAAAGACATCCTCCTCCTAGGTAAAAAGCCTAATTTACCAGGATGATTCTGCCTCCTTCCATTAGAAAATATCATAAACTGTCATGTTTTCAATGTAGGGATTGGGAAGCAAATGGACCTTGCCATTCGTTAGGTTTCTAACAGGACAATCCTATGCTTCAGCCCTTCCCAATCTGACACACTGTGTGTTGGGGTATAACTTGGATAAGTAGCCTTCAGTCAGCATAGCCAGCGGTCAAGATTATGGGACATGTAACGAACATAGTTAGAGGGCACTAAGTCAGGAAAGGCTGCTGGGCATGTTTACTTGGAAGTAAATTCCCTTTTTTCATGTCGCTTAGTTGCCCAGTAAGTGTGTACAGGATCATAGCCTTAATCACCTTTTGGGCACACCGAGTTCTTCTCTTATCTCCCCCCCCTTCCTGGTCACCTCTAATATCAGGGGTTGGGAATCTTGCCCTTCCATGTGTTGTTGACTGTAACTCACACAGTTCCTTAACATCAGCTATGCTTGGTAGGGCTTCTGGGAGTTGATGTCCCCTGGGAAGAAAATATGTTCCCTTGGTGTTGCAGATATTATGAGCAGCAATTCCATTCTTTGGCATTTAGCTCTCTGAAAACAGCAGCAATAATCTATAACTTGCATCTAGCTCAAGTTTCTTTTTTCTACAAAGCCACAGAGAGAACTATAGCAGTGGGACTTTTACAATGACAGACATAATTTGCTTGCATTCTGTTTGCTGACATGCAAATTTTCTCCTCCTTCAACCTTGCTTTATTTTGGGGGGTGGGTGGGGAGGGTTTCCAAACTGAAAATCCACTTGCCACAGTTGGGCTATTCAGACAGTTTGACTGAGAAATCACTAAGATCACATGACTATGCTCTCAATCTACAAGCAAATTACAAATGAAATATCAAGATATCAATAAAATGGTTATACGGTTCATGCCTTGATTTTTAAAAAGGAGACAGATCCCTCTTTTGATTTGTTTTTCCTGAGAGAAAAAAATAGCTATTGAGTAACAAAGTGAATAACAAAGTGAAAAAAAATGTTCACATATAGCTCAGCAAACTTACTTATCTTGCCACTGGGGTGTGTGTGTGTGTGTGTGTGTGTGTGTGTGTGTGTGTGTGTGTGAGAGAGAGAGAGAGAGAGAGAGAGAGAGGGAGAGAGAGGGAGATTGAGAGAGAGAGAGAGAGAGAGAGCTATTGTAACAATACTTCATAGATTATAAAACATAGGACAGTTAGAAGCTGGTGAAGCTGGTTGACAGAATTAAATTTGAAATATAACCATTTCCGTGCAGGAAATGACCACATAATTCCCCGTAACTGCCCAGAGCTGCTGGAAATCAGCCGTGTGGCCGTGAGAATCTTGGATGAGCTGGTGCTGACGTTTCAGGAATTACAGATTGATGATAATGAATACGCTTGTTTGAAAGCCATCATCTTCTTTGATCCAGGTGGGCACTGAATTTATGCTAATAATAACTGATAAAGCAATCCCAGATTTCTCTTGTTCTTTAGCTCTCTATTAACAGTGCTGAGATACTGCATTTTCAGAGTTTGGGAAGGTTACCTTTTGAACTAGAATTCCCAGAATCCCTCAGTCAGCATGGCACCAGCTTCACTTCCCATGGGCTTCAAAGCAGAAATAAAACTAAGCTTCTAAATAAGCACTTATATAGGGATGTGCCCTCCAGCCCTTATTCCTGCCCAGTCCTCCTATAATGTGTACTTGCAAGAAAGTGCCGGTCTCAAGGTTCTGAACTCCAGGACTCCGATGGGGGAGGGGGATTAGTGATGAACAGCTTATTAAGTGATCTACAAATGACCTACAGTATCATGAGGTTCTTCCAGATGGAACATTTGTTTCCCAACTACTTCCCCTTTTTGTGGCTTCCTGCCAAAGGAATGCACAGTTTAGTGGGATTCATTGCCAAACAAACTCACTTGTCATTAAGAAACACCCTTCTGTGAGAAATTCATTGATGGAACTTCTCTACTAAAGTATTTTTTTTGGTGGGTTGGGTGGTAAGTGAAAGTTTCCACTTGGGAAGCTCTTACTTCAGACATGAACTTTAGTGANACATACATACATACATACATACATACATACATACATACATACATACATACATACATACATTAAAAGAAAATAATACGTAAAAATACGTAAAAAGAAACTATAGCAAGTAAGACAGCAGGAAAGCAAAGAAGACCTGTCTTCCATATTCTTCTCAGGCACTGCATTCCCATGTTTGCACTTGATATATTGCTACAGCCAGGTAGGACTGAGAGTGATGGGAACTAGAGTCCAGCAACATCCAGAGGCCTGCCTTTCACAAGCAGGCCTCATCCCTTTCATGGGGGAAAAAGACAGCAAGGGTATAAGAGAGGATAAGGTAAGGTAAGATATAAAATAAAAGCCCATGCTGATGCAGAATAAAGAAAACAGGAGAGACAGGGGCTCCTCAGTGCCACAGGAGTCTGGCTATTATGGAAAAGATGTCATTCAAGTTAGTGGCCTCAGTTAGTGGACCACGTCGCTTTTTAAAAAAGGGTTGTGCTTGAGAAATGGCATCACCTGAGGTTGCTTGTGGTTTGTTCCAGATGCCAAAGGCCTGAGCGACCCCATCAAGATCAAACGAATGAGGTATCAAGTTCAGGTCAGCCTGGAGGACTACATCAACGACCGGCAGTATGATTCTAGGGGGCGTTTCGGGGAGCTCCTCCTCCTGCTGCCCACCCTCCAGAGCATAACCTGGCAGATGATCGAGCAAATCCAGTTTGTCAAACTCTTCGGCATGGCTAAGATTGACAACCTGCTGCAGGAGATGCTGCTGGGAGGTGAGCATTGGCCCTCAGAGGTTCCCTGAGAGGCACCCCGTACAGATCAGAGTGGACTGGGAAAGTACAATACCCCTAATGCTTTGCAGTGTCATGGGGCTTAGCCCAGTTGACACTCAGAAATGAAGAGGTATTTTCTCCTTTATGTACCACCTGGAAGTTATACCAAACACATGAGAGGGCTTTTGGGGGAGGGCTACAGACCCTTGAATTCTAGCTGGAACAATTCCATTAAGAAAATACAAAAATCCCAATTGGAGTTCTTGGCTTGGGATGCCAGTTCTCCCTAAGTAGGGATGTGATTACACACGCCAAGACCATGTCCCTGCATGTCATGTTCTTCACTGCATATTGCAAATCATTAGAATAATATAAATAATTAATTTTAGGATCGTCGAGTGATACGCCTCATACTCACCATCATGCTCTACACCCTCACCTGATCCAGGAGAATCTGGGGACAAATGTCATTGTGGCCAACACAATGCCCACTCAGATTCACAACGGGCAGCTGTGTGAGTATTTCCCATCCTGCCATCTAGAAATGCCATGTTGGGTCTGATTGTGTGGTCAACTGATCGTACAAGGTTGTGCACACTTTGCACTTCTGATGCAATGGGAGGAGCAGGTTCTCTTTGGGCGATCTACTCTATTCCAGAGCAGTAGAGAAGAGGAGGCCTTGCTATGTGGCAAAGCCCTTTCACTCCTTTTTATTTTGTTTTAAGGAAAAACTATTGAGAAGATGTATATTTAGTTATTAGATCATGCATATCCCTAAAAGGGGAAATATTCAATGGGAAGGACAAGAGTGAAGGGGAAAAATAAGTTTCCTTTATTTACTTCTTTCCCTGTGAAAGAGGATGACTGTGCTAATGCATAGCACTGCATAAGCATACAGCCTTTCCACATGTACACACACGAAGAATAGACTTGTTAAATTACAAACACAACACGGGCATGTGTCTGACATGACAGTCATTGTCCCTTCATTGCTGGTCACAGCCAGTAAACAAAATCACATTCACTGTTATATTTATTCACTGGAATCTTGTTAGTGTTTGTGTAAGGTCTGCATAACTTGCTGCAATGAATTTTAGCTAATTGATGAGGTGCCAGCAAGGGCTTCTATTGTGCAGTTGGACACCTGACCACGCCCAGGACTGCGATGCATGTTTGCCAGCCATGCCAGTCCTTGGCTGTGATTAGAATGGGCCATACATGTCTATGGCTCCTCCTTGCAAGGGAGAGCCCTGATGCAGTGAGTGGGTATACTCCTCCCCCCCTTTAAAAATCAATGGAAGTAATAAATAATAATGCAAGTGGTCTTAAAAGAAGCAGTTAAAAGACTTTGCTCTAAACCCAATACTTTTACTAGGAAGCCGCCTAGAGTGGTCCGTGGGATTAGATAGGCGGGATATAAATAAAATAAATAATAAATTATAAATAAATAATAATAATAATCTTGCTATTACTTACATGGCATTGTTGAGCTCAGTTTATGGGAAATTCCTATGTTCTTTCTCTGCTTTTATCATATAGAGTAGCTGATATATTAACATAGCTTTTCTCACCACAGCTACTCCTGAAACTCCACAGCCTTCCCCACCAGCTGGCTCGGGAGCCGAACAATACAAGCTGCTTCCTGGGGCCATTGCGACGGTAGCCAAACAGCCCAATTCAATCCCTCAGCCTGCTATAACAAAGCAAGAGGTCATCTAGCATCCAGCTCGAATGAATTTGCCAGAAGTTGCAAAGACCATGCTCGGGGCCGAATGTCCTCACACATACTGTACTCAACTTACTCTGGAAGTGGCACATTCACAGAGTTGTCCCAGGGCACGGATGCATCAGCCTGTTTTATTGGTAACTTCGTGGGGGAAAAAAAAGCCATCTTCCTGTGGGGTGATGGAGAACCGCACCTAAGCACTGCAGAACTGATAGACAAGACTCAACAGAGGCCTTATTTTCTTTATATGTAGAGCTGGATCCCTCACCAACCTGTTGGTGACTGTTTCTAAAATTTGCACTGACTTGCCTGTTTCTTCACTGCCAACACGTTATTATTCTGTTTTAACTTCTTCTCAAATTAGTCTTTTTCAAAGGATAAAAAAAATCTGAATGAAAAGGAGAAAATACCTTGACTAGAGCATCTCCAAATAGTTCCAGGTCTTCCTGCAACAGGGTGGATTAACATATTCTCAGATGGTCATGTTCTTTTCAGGGGAAGATACAGAAAGTCTGGACTCACTGCTGGTAAAGCATGGCCTCTTTACTGCTTCATTTACCGCTTGGCTGCCTTGAGACAATTCCAGAAGTGAAGGCCAGGCTAGATGCCTCCAGTGATCTTCAGTGATAAGCAAAATTGAGAGGCGAAAGGTGTGTTCTCCTATGACATTGATTTACCTATCTGGTGATTTCTGTGAGGAAACAGTGGTTTCTTTGAAGGAAGAATTGCCTTGGTGAATCAGACATCAATGTCCATATAATGCAGCACTGCTTTCAACAGCAACCAACTGAATGCTTCTGGGAAGACCACCAACATCATGTGAAGATGGTGGCCTTCATACCTTGGTTGTCTGAATCATCCGCTCTGCCATTCAACTATACTGCCTTTCTGCATGGAACTCCCATAGTGAAAAGTTGTTGATAGACCTGTCCATCATTGTTTTATCTAATTGATTTTGAGACTATGAAGCTTCCTTTGTTGAAAGACAGCAAGGTCCATCTGCTTAGAATGGATGCTTCTCTGCCAAAGTGCTAGCCTAAGTAGACTTCGCTGTGTTTCCCCTCTTTCTCCATGCAAGACAGAATAATCTGGCTCAGTGAAATGTAATGATGGTGGAAATAAGTGCTGTAGTGAAGATCCTAAGCAAGGGACCTGGTGCCAGCTCCATTGGTTCCTTGTCCTTATTCATAATGATCCCAGGTGCTACTCTGTTGGGAATTATAAATAACAAATAAGGGGAAATGAAAAGGTAGGAGAGATGCTGCAGACACACTAGACAGATGCCACCAAATCCACCCCAGGCCTCACCACTGCCAAATAAGTCAAAAACTATTCAGATATTAGGAAAAATTGTTCTGAAAGCATTTAATTGGGAAGAGCAAGGAGGACAAAAATACTACTCTTCATGTGAATAGCAACTAGCCACAGTGCCTTCTCTATCTGTGAAGGTACTTGCTGGGTTGTAAATCACACGGTCTGGTGCCAATGACAAAGAAGGCTGTCCATTGCAAATGGCTGCTTTCAACATGTGGACAGTGGTGATTATGATGGCTGAAGAAGCAGACTTAGAATATATGGCCTTGCACTCCCTCCTCATGCATATATGTGTTAAGTCCTAACAAATTGCTTCCAACTTATGGTGTCCTTCATACATCTTTCAAGGTATGTGAAAGATTCAAGAAGTAAATTCCCCGAGTGAGTTTCCATGGCCAGGTGAGAATTTGAACCCAGATACCCTGAGTCCTATTCTCTATCCACTACATTACAGTGGTGCCTCGCTTGACGAGGATAATCCGTGCCATTGAAATCACTGTTAAGCGAAATCCTCATCAAGGGAAATTAAAAAGCCCATTAGAATGCATTAGAAACCGGCTAATGCGTTCTAATGGGTGAAATACCTTATTGTAAAGCGAACATCCTCCATAGGGCGGCCATTTTCCGGTGCCTGTCTTGTGAAAAATGCCTCCTAAAAACAACGGGGGGCCATTTTGAGAGCCGGCGGCCATTTTGAAAACCGCCGATCAGCTGTTGAAAAAACATTGTTTAGTGAAAAATCGGTTCCCGAAGCAGGGAACGGACCATCGCTAAGCGAAAAAACCCATCCAAATATCGTTTTGCAATTGCTTTTGCGATCACAAAAACATCATCATGAATCGGATTCATTCATCATTAAACAGGGTAATCATCAAGCGGGGCACGACTGTACATTGGCTTTCAATTCTCTTGAGCTTACAGGACATGTTTTCCAAAACCCTGAATTAGGCTTTAAAAAAATATGGACAGTCTCTTCTATCTTGGTGTTTTCTGCTTGAGTTCTTCCTTCCATGCCTCTTGAACAGTGTTCCCAGTTCCATGAGCAGCACCCACTGACAACGTCTTATGAACCTAAGACATAGTCTTATACCAGGTGAAGCTATTGGCCCATCTACTCTACTCTACTACCTTGATCAGCAGCAGGGAGTTCTCCAAGGTCTCAATTAGGGAGTATGTCCGCTTGAGAACTCCACTCACAGAACTCCTTTTAACTGAGGACCTGCTCAATACATTTTGCTGCTGAGATGGTGGCCTCTAGTCACCCAAGTCACGATGTGTGGTACCCAAACTCGGCTAAGCTATTTGGGCCACTAGGCAGAAAATTTTACAAATATCTCTTCCCATCCCAATCACAACAAATAAAAAAATTTAAAAACTTGCTCTCTTTTCATGACAGCCACTTCATCCTTCCTAATGACTGGCTCTCTGTTAATCAGAGGTGTCATGAATGGAAATCTGGGACCTGAGCAGAATATGCTCTATCCCAAGCCACGAATCCTTCCCTAAATTGGGCATATCATTACACAAGGTGTCATGAATGGAAATCTGGGACCTGAGCAGAATATGCTCTATCCCAAGCCACGAATCCTTCCCTAAATTAGGCATATTTAGGGAAGCTTATACTGAGTCAAAATTTGTTTGTGTAGTTCAACATTCTGACTGGCAGCAGCTGTCTAGGACTTGAAGCAGGGTTATTTCCTAGCTCTAATGGAAACTCTCTAGTTTGGCCATCCAGGGCCTAGGAAATTTATACGTCTTTGGTTAACAAGATTTGACTTCATATCAAACTCTGGTTTATTTATCACATCAAAGGGTAAATCAGAGACTAATCTGAAGGATAATCAAAAGGTATTGTGAAAATCAGGATTTGCTTCTTGATTGGTTTCTCTTTTTCCCTAGGATAAGCAATCCTGTCTAACAATAGTCAAATTGTTCTCTCTGATAAGTACAATTTCTTGGAGAAATACAGGCCTAATTCACAAAAACGATTTAGAGGCACAACAGGCTGCGTGAGATGACTTTTCCCTTCAGTGCTTACAAGATAAAATTGTATTGTGAGAACACTCCGTGTATGAGGAGATTGTCAATACCAGAATCCCTAAAAGACACTACTTTTCTAGCATTTTTCTGAGATGCAGTAACTTCATCATATTGCTTTATTGTGTAAATGTGGAGGAGAAGAGTAACTTCAGTAACTAACAGTATTCATTCATGCAAGTCTTGGCCTCCTTTGAGGCCCCATTGAGTTTGGCCCTTAGGACAACACAGTGCCTGAGGTGACAAATTTCGCACTCCCTTACTTGCTCTTGTCAACCCACTATTCTCCAGATCTCTTTATTTTCCTGCATCCCTGGAAGCCAGAGGGTCCTAAGAGTGAAGGTACAAATGTGATGGGAAAGAGGAGAGATAGCTAAGAGAGTTTCCTGTGTCATGACAGGAATGAGCTTACTTGTGTAATCTACTTCCTGTCTTTTTTAAAAACCCAAATGTCCATCAACAAGAGCCAGCTACAGAAGAATGAAGAATAGTGAGCACAATAATTTAAAAATAGTTAAATATGTAAAATAAGTCATAACCTTAGCACATGGGGAGATCACCCCAGAATTTCAAAGGGAGGCACTCCTTGCCTACCTCACAAGGCAACCTCGCTTGAGCCAATAATTTGTTCCATAGGTCAGAACCAAACTGAGATCAGAGTCCTTCTAAACAAAAATCCAAGCCCTGTTACCTCCAGCGTTCTTCATTTCAACAGGATAAGGTGGAGCATGAGGGAATTAATGGCTAGCAATACAAAATACAATAAGCCAAAAAAAAAAAAACAACCTCTGGCATACTGGCTACAAGCAGCATGCTGATGCTCTGTGACTTTTCCTATACACAGGAATGTATAATCATGTGACATTTATGTTAGCAAAATGCAGCAGGATAGTGCTGAATTTCTGGCTATTATCTGTGTGTGAACTGTGGAAGCGCATAAATTGGGAAAAAGTAGAAATACTTCTGTATTTTGCTTCAGAAATCTATGCTAGGGCAGTACAGGGAAAACGCCCTAAACTTGGTTACTCAAAGTCCCTGAAGGTAGCTTCTGTCTGCAGATCTGCTCAGTTGTTAGGCAGAAGCCGTGTGGGTCTGTGTCACTCCACCTTGTAGAAAAACGAAGCAGGAGCTCAGCTCAGAGGAAGGAGAAAATGACCAGGTTAAGAGTAAAAGTTGATGAAACATAGATCTAGAAAAGACAAGTGGGGAAAACACTCTGGCAGTCTTCCTACATATCTCCCTGCCCCCCCTTGACAGATGTGGACACAGCTGCTGCTCATATTTCCCTGCCCCCCCCCCCTGATTTAGATCATTTGCTATATGTGCAGGCGCTGCATGTCAAAGACAGATGTGGACACAGCTGCTGTTCTGGTTTGTTTCCTCCCCCACCCCAAGAGGTTAGACAAGGAATTGAGGATAAAGTTTCTTTGTCTGGATTTTCATGAGAAAATAAGCCAGCTGGACACTTACAACTGTGTTCGGGTAACACAATAAATAAACTACAGAGCAAAGCTCCCAGATTTGTTTAACTGCTCCTGCTGCAAGCCACACTGATGTAGTTACATGCATCATCAGTACTGTGCTTCTATCAAAAGTGAGAGTTCTTTCCCTTCCCTAGCTTTCATACAAACTGACCCAGTGTGTTGCTGCTGTTGTTAAAGAGAGCAAGAAATACTGCAAAACACCAGAGATCAACAAAATAAATAACTGAAAAAGCGAATACATAATAAGCACTCACTGTACAAGAGAAGATGAGTTTTGATGGGAAGAATCTTTCAGAGAATACACAAAAAGTGT